TATAACCGATTGTATTTAATATGATAGCTACCCAAACTATTGTTTCTTCACATGTTGTGGATAACATAATTCGAACGATTACACATACTAGCATCAAAACTATAGCAAAAAATTGGAACAGGAAAACTAAAAGAAATCTATTACATGTACGTGCAAACAACTTCCATGATTTTCATTGATGAATTTGGTCATCAAAAACAAGACTTCCTAAATTTACTGGCTTGTCACATTGCTCGACTATTTTAAATCTAGAAAGAAAGCGATGACAATTTTTTTTAAAGTTTAAAAAAGGTAGAACAAAAAGATTATTATGGTTTATAATTTTTTTAAAAAAACATCAATTCCATGTTCCCTATGCAAATGGTTTTCTTTCTGCAGAATGATGAGTTTTTGCATGAGTGAATGAGTAGCAGCTACATCTCCAATCATAATCTTCATCTTTCAAAATCAAATACTGAGCTTTTGGGCAAGCGTAGTCACCCAAATTATTTACCTTTGTTTCTAAAAGTTTTGACAGAGTCTTAAGTTTTTCATAAACTTTTGCTAAAAATTCCGTTTCTGAAGGTTCGATATTTTTCAATATTTTTTCAAGTTCAGTATATTTTTTATATTCGCTACTCCAACTGATTCCATGAAGATGTTTTGTACATCAAGAAGATTGTGCGTTGTTTTGAGCTTTTGGGAGGAAGAGAAGAATATTCTATAACCATCTAAAATCCTGCTTGTCCATCCTTGTAAAATGCTACTTCTTTCACTATATTGTTTTTATTACATTCAGAATCCAGCTTATATATTGGTATCAATTAACGGCTTAATTGACTGTCAAAAAACTTTTTACACCCGTTTATCGCAAAAAAAATCAGCAGTAATGAAATTTTAGTTATATTTTAGAGAAAATTGTAAGGAATTGCGCAATAAAAAAGAAACGCGTAACAAAAAATCTGACAAAACTTTTAAATTTTGCATGGAGTATGATAAAGTCGAGAAACTGCAAAAAACTTTGTGCGCAAAAATTTGTCACTGAAAAATCTTTTATAGGCGGATAGTTTTAACTATCATATTTCAAATTCATGAAGCTCTACAAAAAAAATCCTGGTTTTCAGCATGGTTTTCAGGCTGGTTTGCATGAAGTGAAGAGACGTCAAAAAATTTTGCAAACGCGTTTTGAGCAAAACTTGTCACCAGAAAAAAAACGCTGACAAGCAAATAGTTGTAAGTATCATATTTCACATAGCTGCTTATCTGCGGGTACAACGCTTGATTTTCAGTTTAGATGGCTTCTGATTTTTGTTTTGGTTTTATATACTGGTGTTAATCAACAATTTAGGTTACGGTAAGAAAAATCATTTATAAACTTTATCGCAAAAAATACTAGCAGTTATGAAATTTCCGTTATACCTCAGAAAAATTCTTGGGGGTTTGCAGGAACGCGTAACATGGAATACGACTAAATGTTTTACTTTTGCATGGAATAGGACGACGTCGATAAGAACTTGCAAAAAAAACATTAGAAACTTGTAAGAACTTGTAAGAAAAACTTGTCACGAAAAAAGTGCGCTGATGGGCGGATAATTCTAAAAACCAGACTTCAAGTAGCAGCCCATCTACGGATACAACGCTTAGTTCTCAGCCTGGCTAGGTACTTATTTTACTTTTGGTACAAAATTAATTTATATACTGGTGTCAATCAACAATTTAGGCGACTGTAAGAATAAATTTTTATAACCTTTATCGCACAAACATTAGCAGTAGAGAAGTTTTCATTATATCACAGAAAACTTTTTCAGAGTTTGCTGGAACGCGTAATTTGGAATAGGACTAGAAAGTTTGTTTTTGAATGGTATACGGTGGCGTCGATAAGAATTTGTAAATTATTTTGGTTAAAACTTGCCGCTGAATAAAAAAAACGCGCATGGATACTGTCAGGCTGGTTGACTACTTATTTTTCTTTTTGGTACAATTTTAAATTAGATACTGGTACCAACTAAAACTTTAACCGACAGTAAAATTAACCTTTTATAGCCTTTTGTCACAAAAAAGCCCTAATAAAAACTTCGTTATTTAACAGACAAAATTTCAGAGTTTGCTGGATCGCGTTTCATGGAATACGGCTAAAAATTCTTTTTGCATGGATTAGGATGACTTCGATAAGAAATTGCAAAAACTTTTTTGGCAAAAATGAACACTGAAAAAACTCTCATGGGCGGATAGTTTTAACTATCAATCTTCAAATAGCTGTGCATCTAAGGATACAGCGCCTGGTTATCAAGCTGGTTGGCTAGTGATTTTGCTTGGAGGTAAAAATTTACTTCTTACCGGTGTCAACTAACAATTTAAGTGACCTTTTTTTAACCTTTTGTCGCAAAAAAAAGTACTAGCAGTATCAAAATAGAGGAATTTTTAGGCAAAGTTATAGCATTGGAACTTTCTAAAGCTGAGACTCAAAGCTGAGTTTCAAAGGCTAATAATTGTTAGAAACAAATCTGTGCTGATTCCGAAAATCAACTTAATTCAATGAGTATGTATTTCAAAAAATTCTGTGAACAGAGTAATTTTCATGTTTTTTGTAAACAAAACTTAAATTTTTCGTCAAAACCAAATCTTTTTCATTTTCAAATTTCTGATGAAACGAAGCAAAAGAATGATAACAATTACCTATAAGTGATGAAAACTGTATTAATTTTTCAGCTGAATTTTTGAGTCAAAATTTTTTTTTTTCAATCAAGTTATTTAAAATTCAAATAGGGTATCTCCTAACCCAATTCTATGGAGCAAAACTCTGCTACTGCTACGTATTAAGTTTTATGGATGTAAAACGAGTAGATAAACCATCTGTAAAACTATTGCTCTCACACAACTAACCACTATTCAAGTGAGTCATCGACATTGAAAAAATGATAACGAATTTTTCAAAGAACATCATTTTCAGCAAAAAAAAAGTTGAAATTTTTTTTTAATTGAACCTCTACTAAGTCAAAATAAAATTATCTTATAGTTTATGGGCTGGACGAATCAAAGCTTCAACCTTATTAACTCAAAATCCACAAAAGAAATCGTGAAAAAAATAATTATAATACGGTACAACATTTTCCGACCAATTTGACTTTGTTACAAAACAATTCTCATTATTACGGACTCTTTCAACATGAACATAAGTTTTTTGTCGGATTTGATTGTCATACATTAAAATTATGAACACAAGTTCATTATTTTTAACTTGGGCCATAACTCCTTCTAACTCCTGGGTGTTGCTGGTAGTCAAGTATATGTTTTGCACTCGGTTTTAAACAGTTTTACGGATCCTATCACCTTTTAAATCTTACGATAGATAAAACAATACAAACAAACAAAATATGAGCTAATGTGAACGAAACAAGAACCTTTCTATAATCTGTCTCTAAAACAAGTTGGAGCTTGAATTTTCAATTTTTTGCAAAAGTGGACAACCAGATAAGCAAAAAGACAGTTTGGATACTAAAACAGTAGAACATTTTTGATTCAGTTCACTTTCATGAAAAAAAACGGCTGAAGTAAGATAATTAAATTAGTTAATACTCCCATTTCAAAAGTACAAAGGGTCTCTGTATTCGGTTGTGTTTAAGTTTTTTCATGTTCACCGAGCAAAATGAGGTACCACAAACAAACATTGGAGTTGATCGAGAACAAAATAAAATTAAAGCCTTTTGAGTCGTGATTTCAAACAAAAATTGAAAAAATTTGAAAAATTTCTTAGTGTCGAGAGAAACCAGCGAGAATTTTTTGACTTTTGATCGAAATTCAAGCTGATAATGTGATAAATTATTCAATTCTAATTGGAGCCATGAACTTAATTTAATGTAAAAATGTTTTTTGAGTTTTTAATGCCAATTTTAACGCCAACTTCAAAATTCAAAAACTAAAATAAAATTTTTGAAAAGTTCATGAAGTTTCTGAACCCTTTATTCTTTTTTTCTAGCCATTGCTCTGTAAAAAAAAAATTGTTTTTTTTTGTGGCCAGCTTAAATATTGCTGTACAATATGTCCAAGGGTTATTCTTTCACTTAGATATTTTTTCACACCATGCAGGAAAAAAAACAACACCAGTTTTTTGTGTTTTAGCTCTATGTTCGGAACATTCTGTGCTTCTTGCACAGTGTTCGGTCATCCTTAATTTCTTTTTGTAATTATGATCATCGTACGCAAAGTTGATATCTGAAACCGTTAACGAGTTGTTATATGCTAATTTTAGATTGACACGCCAAAAAATAGTAAAATGAATTGCAATGCATGATTTTGAATTGGTTTCTGAGCCTTATAACTATAGCTTTAAGTTTTACCAAACAAATCACATGAGCATGTGATGAGAATTCAGTAGTTTATAATTAGTAGCAAAAAGTTCGGACAGACAAAATTGATTAAAATGAGCAATCAGTGCTTTTAGACGTTTTTTACATGCAAAATATGAGGCCGAACAACCTTGAATTTTTTGTCAGAGCAAATTCAAAATACGAGATCTTCGATTATCCGATGATTATACTAACCTAATTTTTGAATACTGCGATAAAATTCCAGATTTTCTATAAAAAGTTTTAGCAAAGTTAATTGAAATCTACCGTTTATGATGTTTTACAAAGACAAAAATCAAAGAGTTTTCAACAACAACAAATTACAGATCAGGCCGCCAAAAAAAATGGAATCGAAGATGATCAAATCATTCATAAATTGTAAACTAATCGCAGAAAACTATTAGCACCCTGAGCAATAATTTCTTGTTTCTAGGTTTACCATTCGACGCTTCGGATGTAATTGCCTGCAAGGGTTAAAGGTTTTCAGCAAAACTCTGCTTTATGAACTTTCTACGTTAAGTTTATTTCAATTTTAATTTCAGTTGATGTCCAGATAGTTGCTCTTTTTAATTAATTCTGTCTGTCCGAACTGTTTGCAACTCTCTATACTACGATTTCTTTTTTATGACGTTTTTCGCTGATGTTTGCTTAGCTTTCGAGCTTTGTTTGATTGTGTAAGCTAGAAAAACGCGTTCACTTTCAAGCGTAGAAAACTTCAAGCAGATAAAACAAATCAATTGATTAATTGACAACAGCCCATGCGTTTTTTTAATGCGCGAAACTGTTCAAGTTAAAGTGTTCACTTTACATCGTGAGCCCACAGCAAGCTCTTTTTCATATTTCGCTCCAGCTTCTCCGTCGCAATGGGCTTTGCTTATTGAATATTACGAAAACAACGAACTAGATTCTGAGGAAATTGTTGAAGTTGCCTGGAATTTTGACCGTTATCCATATCCGGAATTTTGGATCGCACCTTTTGGAAATAAAAAAAGAAAAGAATTCGAATCAGCACCAGGATTTAAACGAGTTGTTGTGCATACAACAGATTTCCTTAACTTACCAGCAGACTATTTTGTTTCCAGATTTTGCGACAGTATTATTCAGAAACAGAAGAACTTCAAGTCACTCAACTGTCACACATTGCTTAAAGAATTTCTCTCAAAAGCGAGCATCGAGACATCGTTGGTGGCAGAAACTGCAAAAAGTGCTGCTAAATTTTCTGCGAAGGTTTGAACTTTTGGTTTGATGTTTTAATCATTTTTTGATCAGTTTAGTCGCAAAATACAAATGACATAGTAGTAAAATTATCAGTTATTTGTGCACACTGCATTAACAATTTTTAGCAACTGTACATTTGTTTGATGGGTTAAACGGAAAACAAATAGTTCATACTTGTATTTAAAAGGCTCATAGCTTAATTAAATTGAAACTTTTGTGATAGATTGTAATTAAATTTTTAGGACTATTTGTTATCAATCAGCTGTATTACGAAAAACACGCAAAAAAATCAAGTTTCAACAGCAAAAAGTACAATTTTTCTGGGATGCAACTACTATTTTTATGATCAGTAGTTCTGCAAATTAGTTCTTTTTGGAACCGAACACTAAATGTCCTGCAACATCTATCGGTTTTTCTCAAACTAAAAGCTAATATGTGCAAAACATCTAAGTTCTAGAAGACTGCTTCGATAGTTATTCGGAGCTTAACATTTGTTGTTCAAACTACACTATTGCAAGAAAATTGACTTCGGTAAATTAATTGCGAAAAAATTAATTTTGACTAATTTGTTTAACATATATAATAGCTTGAAAACAATTTCGAGAACTATATTTTTTTCAGTTCTGACAGTTTAACGGATAGATATTTTTTTTCAGTTTTAAAAATTAATGCATGTCAATTCAAGAAAATGTATGAGCGATGGAATCAATTACTTGTGAACTGTGGCTTGATTTTGTTTTCATTTGGTTCAATTGACAGAAAAACTAGAAAACAAATTACTGATAAAGAATATTTCGTTCCTGCGTTTCAAAAATATATAAACTTTTCAATGTAATTTTTATGTTGATAAACAACAATCAAAAAATTCAAGTAACAAAAACAATCGATTTTTTTCGCATCATGGGAAATTGTGATTGATCATTTTTTGATAAAACCTAAACAAATCAGACGAAAACCTATATTTGAAAAATTTGGTAATTGTTAATATCAAATTGCTTGATCAAGCGAACAATTTCCTTAAAATTTTAGTTTCTGAATTTTTGTGGCTGTTCGGTTTTCACTTTTAATTTTTTTAGGGTTGAATTAAGTTTTAGTTTTTTCCGACCAACCGTCAATTTTTTTAATAACAATTAAAAATTTAATTGTTATTTAAAAAATTGAAGGTTGGTCGGAAAAAACTGTAAGTTAATTCAACCCTAAAAAATTGAAAAGTGAAAACCGAATATCCACAAAAATTCAGAAACTAAAATTTCATGGAAATTGTTCGCTTGATCAAGCAATTTATTGATTTGAATTTGTGCTGTACATTTTCGGTGTGATCGAAACACTTTCAATCTTGGTGAAAATCATGAGTTGTAAACTTTTTCACGTGTTTCAAATTGTTTTGTTTGTTTCAGGGCTCGGTGAACACTTATTCAAAATTGATAGAGAATATCAGCGCTAAACTCTTGGACGCAACAAATCTTCCTGATTTCGGAAATCACATCTACGAGATATTGAAGACACCAATTCAAACCAATTCTAAAGTAATCGACGGTATTCTGACCTTGCTGCTGGATAATGAGGGCAGAATACTCATTGCTGAGGAGTTAGCGATATATATGGCTGGAATTTCCGCTTACTGGCAATTATTTGAATATCCTATCGAGATCCTAGCGGAAGCTCTTTGGGGGCAAATGTTAGCGGATGAAAAATTTGCACTAAAGGTCAAGAATTTATCATCGCCAAAATTCTCAGCGAGAATCGGATTTGTTGTAGGGGAACCTTGTGGATCAATAATGTCTGTTATTTGGTGGATTGTGGGAGAGTTCGTTGCGTGGCTAATTGACAAACTGCTCGTGCGAATAATTGATAAATTGCAGACCGCGGACAAGTCGCTGGAAGGTGTTACAGTGAGAGTGGCGGACCTGGGTATTTCAGTCATGAATTATATCTCTGTATGTGCTCGTTCAAACGAGGAATGGGTGATCCGGTTGAGAGAAATGTCAGAAAAATTTATCAAATGAAACGCATCTTTGGCATGAATGTTCTGCTCTCATATCCATGGCAAACTAACTGTATATCAATATCTGCTATTTTTGAACCATAAAATCGACTCTTTCATATTTACGAGGCCAAACCTTGCATTTATTTACGAGCATTTTGGCCTCGTAATTACGAGGCCAAACCTTGTGCATTTTGTGAATTGTGAAAGGTATCCGCAACAAAAGGCGAGCCTTTGTTGTTTTGTTCTTTATTTTCCTTTGATTGTTCCGATAAAACTTTAACGTATTTAAAGACTTGTCTCTGGATTCCAGGAACATTAAGACACCAAACGCACAATTTGGCCTCATTAGTCGTTGGCATTACAAAACCTTGAACTGTAGACACTGATCAATTATCAAGGAAATATCAACAAGAGTGCAAACTGCGTACAAGAGTGTTCAACTACTTTATTTAGTTTAACTTTTTTTGTATAATGGGTACTGAAAAAACTCCCATTTTGTATAATGGGTGATGTGAATCTTTTTGTAAATACTCTAGTTTTCTTGAACCTTGAGATTAATACACTTCTTAGTTTTATCCCTTCAACTGTAAACAAGTAGAACTAGATGCAACAAAGTAAAAAATTATCAAGGCGCAGTCAAACAACGAATCTAACGTGAGAGTAACACTGACATAATTTTTTGGCAAAAACATACAGTGGATCCACCATTTTCGTGGGAAGAGCCATACTTTTCACCTTGTAGTAATCGCTAAGGAGAATGTAGATATCGAAAACCTGTTTATTCCAATTATTAGACCCCACCCACAACCACCAGGAGTTGAAAATCCAACGAAAACAAAAACTAAAATCAGAAAACAGCACGACTCGAAAGAAGCATCCGGGAACAGTACATAATTGATAACGAAGAAACGACATCGATAAAAAATGAGAGAAAGCGATTCAACTGAAGGAGAATCAATGAAGCTGAGCGAAGATCCTTTTTCCTCTCCATTCCAAGGGCTAAGTGAATAATTGAGCTCGAATATTTACTTAGCCCTCAGAAACGAAGGAAGGAGGATCATCAGACAAAAATTCAAAATAAGGAAAACTCTTTAAATGGATTGTCAACGGCGTTTGCGAGAAAAAAATCAAATTTAAAAAAATAAATAAAAGGCACAAACCCTTACACAGAAAACAACTCGACAGAGTCTTTCGAACAATTTTGGGAGCTCTAGTCGAAATGGCGATAAAGCGTGACATATCCGCCGGAGAAGACAGACGGATTAGAGATATCTCACTGACAGAATTCTTCCCCTCATTTGAAGCACTAAGTGTTGCATTGATAGATTATAAATGAAAACCCAACCGTATGCCGATCATCAATATTTTCAACAAACTAAATTATTCAACATATGTACCTAAATCTTACAATCGTTTTAACAACAAAAGAGAACCGACTTTGAGTTTTTAGCGAAAAAAAACCTGAATGTAAATTGGCGGTAACTTTTCTAAGAGTCACGTAGCAAACTTTTTGGGCAACCTAGCAACTTGTAAATCGTGTAAGCACAAAGGCTACGCTACCAAATTTTGTAAATAAATTGTCGTAAACTGTGAAACAAAGTTGAAAATACCCAAAAAGTAGATAACACAGATTGTCATTAGCCTTGGCATCAACCGGACATAAATAACGACCGTGTAAACAGAGAAATTTGTGGAGTGATCGACTTCTGTCTAGAATCCAGACAAAACGATAATGATGATAACTTTGTATTAGATTTAACCACAAATTTTGACGACGAAAGAGAAGAGCTCATTGTTGAATATCGGCCTAGTAAAATATAGATACAAATACACTCTGCCAGCCCGGTTAGCTTCGTTAAAAGAAACATCATCAACGAGCTGAAACTACGTAACCCATACTCGAAGATTTTTCCGGTGGGCCAACCGACGAAGGACTCGTACTGTAGTTTTACTGACAATGCCAACAATGTTATTGGACAGCTGATGAACCGATCTTCTCGAACGGATGTTCTAACGAAGTTTTATTTTTCTTCTAATTCTTCTAATTTTTCTTCATATTTTTTTTTCAAAAAGACCTAATTAGGTTGTTTTCTACTGCTGAAAAAAAACACCGAGATCGAGTATATTTTCAATTTTTTCAAAGAACTATTTATTTCGGATTAGAAAAATAATAAAACTGATGAAAATTGCCTCTTTCACAATCCTGTAAAACCAATCTTGTTAATAGTTATACTTTTTCCAATTCAAGTTTCAGACTCAATAAAAACAGAATTAGTTTGACTGAAATCCGTGTTAAGGTCAGACCATCTCAAGGGTATACTGATTACTTGAATCAAATCAGTTTCCCGATCAAAATTAATTAGAATAGTCAAAACTCATTAAAATTAGACAAGGTCAACTAAATGATCGCGAACTAATTAATTAGTCAAAAATTAATTAGCTGGTACTTTATGATGCTTAGTTTGTCAACTCATTTTTACTCTTTTTTTTTTCAATTTTTTTTACAACAATCACCACCTCTTTCAACCAACAGTTCAAACCTCATTTTAATATCAGTTTCTAATCCCAGCTCTTAATCCTAGTTGCTATGAATTTAATCTTAATAGGTTATGGGCCCAGATTTCTAATTTTTTACTTGTATTAGTTTTTGTCAGAGTTTTTACCTATTAGCAACAATGAACTTGAAACTGGCGGTTTTCTGTGGAAAATCTGAAGATTTTCCTGCTTGGTCGACAAAGTTTGTGGCGCTTATACACACCAAGGGCGAGGGCCTGTTCAGGAGGGTGATGGGCAATGATGATCTGCCAGAGGCTGAGCCTACTCTACCCGAGAGCATGAAGGCTGAATCAACAGGCAGTCTACAATACCGAGATGCAAGAGCTAGCAGTGTTGACCCAGCAGATGGAAGAAAATCAAAACACTCGCGAAAAAAAACAATAATGTTCTATTTTAGAAAAAATATCCGGGTTTTGAGAGAAAAAGTAGGAATTAACGACTTCAACACTGTAAAAAAACCGATAATCGAAATTAAACACTATCGGTTGATTCATATATTTTTTGGTTAATAACTTTTATATAGTTGAAATTAATCAGAAAGATTGCGTGTGGAAGATTTTGGCCGCAGTAAAAATCAAAAACCGCGTCCAACCCACTTATTTTTCCTTGGATTTTCAAAAAATATTGTTCTTTTGTAAAAAAGGCCTAAAAAATTTTGGCAGACAAATAGCACTTTTGCTGAATTTTAACACTGAAAATGATAAAACTGATCCGAAACAAAAAAGTTTCATTATCCGATAGTTTTTTTAATTAATTATCTTTTTAGACATGAGTTTCGTACAAAATGATTTTTTTAGAAGATGTTAGCCGGAGCAGAAATCAACACTCTGCTTTAAGGCATACAACATCTAAACTTTCACGAAAACAATCATTAACTTTTTCAGAAAGAAACCTAAGTTATTTTGGAGTTCATTTTCAAGCCAAAACGTTTTTTTTAAAACATCTTACTCAAAACAGAAATCAAAATTTGTTTAAGGGCATAATTAGCAAAATTTGCACAAAACAAGCACAAAGTTTTGTTGTAGAAAAAATTCAGACAAAAATTTTTGAGAAAAATTTAGCATTTTTCTTTGTTTTACCCAAAACCTGGCAATTGCATCGTACTGATGTGTATAAGTTCTAAAGTTCAGTCAATGATATCGTACTTGAAATGAACAGTTTCGAATAAAGACCCCATGTGTTTGCTCTGCTGGGCTTCAGTTTTTTTCGTTTTGAAAAGTAGGTTGAACTAAAAGAAGTTTTCGCTGAACTTTAATTGCTTGAGACCGCCAAAATGTTCAATTGATACAGTTTATTCCACAGTTTTCATTACTGAATTAAACTTCAGGTAGATTACGTGGGAAAGATGAAAAAGTGTTTTGATACGTGAAGATTGACGCCAGTTTTTTAAACAATTATTCTATTTAGATGAGTTGACTCAACCTCCAGATAGTATAAAATCCATTCCAATCTTTTCCACTTTATAAACTAGATGAAAAACTTTCCCAGTTCACAACCCTGATCAAAAAAATTTTTCCACACAAATTGCACTTTTGCTAATTTGGAACTCAATTTTTATCTAAAAAAAAAACAAATTTTATCTAAATTCAAAAACGTGCAAACTCTACATGGCAATCTGTTTTACAAAATGATTTAATATCACGATTTGCTCAAAAGATTTATGTGACGAAAAATCCGATGCAGGCAAAAACCGCGTTCAAATTTTTGGGACATTCTCACTACAAATCGATCCAAAAATCTTTAAACTAATTAGCAGATTTATGAGTTTCCATAAATCTGCTATATGTGCACTCGCTACTGCAGAATAAAGACTTCTGAAACAATTTCCAATGAGAATGTCACAAAAATCTGAACGCGATTGTTGCCGGCATCGGTTTTTTCGTCTTTTAAAAATTTTGAGCATGTTATCAAAGCATTAATGTGAAATAGATTGCCATGTAAAGTTTGCGCAATTTTGAGTTCAGCTATAATTTGTTTTCTAGATAGAAGTTGAGTTCCAATTTTTATCTGTTTAACAAAAACCAATTATTTGTAAAATCTACCAGAATGGTCACAGCATCCAAAGACTTATGAAGGTTTTCAAAACAATTTTTTTCTTTTCATACATATCAATTTTGTAAAAACGCTAACACATAGATTTGCACATTTTTGTCTAGATCGATTTGCTAACACATAGATTTGCCAGCATGTACCAAAACGCTGGTTGGATCCACAGATTTTGTTGAAAACTTTCAAGCAATCACTTTCTTTATTATATTTTTGGCAGTAAGAAAGCCTCTTCTTGATATGAATATTAGTACCCCGCTGCTGTTTGCATGGTTATTGCATTCAGAAACTTCAAAGCGCTAGAGATTTTACAATTTTCTGATGTACTTTGACGTGTGTAACTTCTGCTACACTCAAGAAATGCAAATCTTTTGTTTCTAATTGGTTAATATATCTCTAATTTGAATTGTCTCAAGTGTAAATATCATCGAGTTCAAATTTTCTTGAAACTTTTTTTGGATACCGATTCAAAAATTTTTAATCTACAGTATTGACTGCAAAGGTAGCAGACTTATTGGAACTCTGTTCTGTTGCGTTATACTTTTTTTTAGAAAAATGTATGCTAAAAGCCAATCCGTGTACATGCATGAGATAAATTGTTTAGCATTTTCATTCATAAAAAACCGAGTAATTGAACCATTTTAACAAATTATTCTCCTTATTTTTTTAAAATAAGTTTTACTGTTCTGGTGCAATTGAGTAGAATCAAGGAGTATCGCCTCTTCGAAGCCAATAATTGGAGACCTATGCATTTAAATTTTTTATTTTTTCCAATTGTTTCATAAATTTTCAGAAAAAATTTCGAAAACTGACAGAGAAAAAAAGAAAAATCCAATATTCAAAATGAGTTTGCACATTTCAAGACGAACATGAACATCTTTATGGTTTGGAGGTTGCTGAAA